GACGTTGCCAACAGTGGCACGTGACATGGCGAAAATTATTTAACACATGCGTAGTTTATGCATTTGTTGCTTGAAGAAATTAATAAATTTCTAGATAAATAATGAGATGCAATAAAAGAATGTGAGGGTTCTTTTTTCTTTAATTCCGTGTCCCCCCCCCCCCGTGAATTGCAATGGGATGCTGGGCTAATGTGTCGGTGTTTCGCATGTTCGTGCCCGCGCGATTCCGCGGTCAGCACATTGAGCAGACGATCGCCGTGGAACGCTCCAACGCGTTCGCGCACTCATTGCGCTCATCTATTCTACCGTGTCAAAGCGAGTGTTGCCAAATAATTCTGCAAAAACAGGGAGTAAACTTCAAAACAATGCTGGTAAAAAAAAAAAACACTGCTCGCATGCATGGGGGCTGGGCTTGTTCGGTCACGTTATGCGCACGTGACCTCTTGGTCGGATAGCCGAGAGGGTACGGACGAGATTTAGCTTGTGAAGACTACGCGGAGAAGTGGCAAGGGTCTCGAGCTCGCCTCCTGTCATCCTCGTTTTATGATGCTTCAAACAATTTTTGTGGCAAAATGTTCCTCACTGGACAACCAACAACTTTCACGGTCTTAATAAATTTAGTATGGGGCCTGGTGAGTGGCCCTTTAGGCCATACATTGCTGCCAGTAACATTCTGTGCTCAGCTACACTAATGAAGATTCATAATTGTAGCCCCTCGCAAAAACACTACAAACCTTCACCGAGTTTGCGATACAACTTATCATGTAGTACAATGTGGCTTATGAAGTATTTCAGCAGAATTATTCAGTAATACAAGTTGTGTAACTGTGTTCTGAAATCAGACAATCTAGGTTAGATTCCACAAAGCCAGCCAATTGTCGTGACATCTGGAAGCAGCAATACAAAACACTAAATTGCCACAGTACCAACTCTGGAGGTGCTCTTCGCAAGCTGCTCAAAACCCCACACCGGGCTAGCGTCGTCACAAGTGCTTGAAAATTATATTTTCGTCAATAGCTGGCACTACAATACACAGACCCCCCTCCCCTGCCCTGTAATTTCGGCCAATGGCCAATCCGGATTTTGATACATAGGACATATGGAGTAATCCACAACTCACACGACTGATGAACTCTGGCTACCAGAACACAGCGTTAAACCAGGGTTTAATGTCTAGGCCTCCACATTTATAGGCATAAAAAGAAAAATACAGTGCACTTCCACAAACTGAAAAGCTTGACTGTGAAGCTACAACTAAGACTAAATGGTATCACTGGATTGATTCTGAAATACAAGAGGGGAATTCTTAATATGCAGCAACTATAGCCAGATGCAACTAGAGAAGTCCAGAGAGGCGACCCAAGCACGGCAGCCGCCACAGCTAGACAAATAGTCTCGCTTGTGTACTCTGTAATGTCTGCCAAAGGGGGGAAAAGGGGTCACTGGCCGTTGCGCTCACGACTGCTGCATGGAGTGTGCCCCGAGTGGTGCATGCTTCTGTGCATTTCCCTTTGAGGAGGAAATGCCTTCGACTTGTTAAGTTGTATCGGACTATATGTAAGTACACAAGCACTACTATTACATGTCTTCTAGCGTAACAGCAGATCACCACAGACACTGGACTATTTCAGCATGTGAGCATCCTTACTAGTTGTAATTTATTAGCCAAGTCCAACGTAACACAATCACTGCTTCACCTATAACCAAAATTTTGGTTTGCATTTGTGAGCTTAAGCTCTAGTAATGGCATACACAGCATACACAGTAATAGGCAGTGTATGCCATTACCAGTGCCTAAGTTTGTTCAAACACTTGTTCAGCTCATTTGCTGAGATACTATAACAAATGACTGCACCCTAATTTATGCATAGCTGTTAATAAAAGAGAAAAAGAATGGTAAGACACAAGTGCCGAACTTTTGACTTGACAAATTGAAAATGCCCTTTTCAGACCAATTTGAATGCTTTGAAATTTCTGTGAGAAGCTGCTAATACATAACTTAGTAAGCATTCCTGCTGCTAGAAATATTTCAACATTTGCCAATTATGCACCACAGTCAGCATTATTACAAACAATTTTCAATTGAGTAACAACAGAAACATGCAATCTTGTGACGCTACAGCTAAAGTTAGGAAAGTAACCGAGAACACACCGGGACCAAGTACTATGACATATATGAGCTAGGATTTTGTTAAAACTAGGAGAAACAGCTACAGTGTAGACCACTTATAACGTAACCGCTTATAATGCAGAACCGCTTACAATGCGGTCTTTTTCTACTCCCATTTACCTTCCCATAGAACACCAAGTACACGCATACCGCTTATTGTGCAGTCCCCCAAGATCAAAGACCGGTTATAATGCGATTGCCGGAAATTGTGACAAATGGGGTAGCGAGTGTGCTTCTGAAAGGAGGCGTGCTGGGTGCGCCTCTGGGGAACGAACGACGAGGTCGTTACGAAGGAGGAGGGGACACGGAGAGAACGAATAAAAGGCGGAGGGAAGAAAAAGAAAATGAAAAAAAGACAACGGGACACTGCATGGGCTCGACGAGTAAGGGAGGAGGACGGTTGCCTCGGTGACCAATAAGCCTTTTGCACCGGCGTCGACGCGGCAACAACGTACTACGTCGCTAGCGTGGCTTCGGCCGCGGCTGCTCAACGTAGCCCGTGCGATCCCATCCTTAACTGCATGTGCTTAACAGTTTCCTGTATGGAAAGACGTCGTCATTATCGAGCTTGCAACAAATATCGTGTTTGCTTCCTTGTCCATAAATTGAAAACCCTTTACGGTTATATGACGCGAGCTTTCACTTGTGCTGCCAGTGCGCTGTCGTACGTAAGCTTGGCATGTTGTCGTGTCTGATGTGCCGGCCACGAACGCGAACTTTGTATCATGCACGCTGTTCTTGGTTGACTGCTAGTGTGATCGTTTTGATGCCGAATCTTCACGTTTTCGACACAGTTTGCACGACATCATACCAAACGGCAAGCTAGGCCTGATGGACGTAGGTTGCGCTTCGATTGGTAGCGGTCGCGTAAATCTAAGTTGCGGTATGATACTGAATAAATGAAATTACTTGCGGTGGCCGCACTTGACGGGAAGGGATACATATCGTAAATGAAAACGAGGGCGGCACCTGTAGCGCTCAAATAGTGGTTCACGATTCGATCGCGATGTCTTAAATTGAGTGTGCGCCCATGAAATTGAATGATTGGAGTTTTTCAATGCATTAAATTCTGGACGTGATTCAACAAAGTTTCTGCGTAATGCGCTTAATCGAGGTGATGTAGTAGTCGGCGAATTTCTGGGATGGTGCTTTCATATGTTAGACACCCCCTCCCCAACCTCACCCTTTCGCGTTCATTTCATTGGCAACGCGCATCTTTGGATGTTAAATTCTTTTAACATTCAGAAATTTAAATGTTAACAAGCACGCATCACATATTTCAATTTTCGGACATGCGAAGCTGCATGTTCAACACGTTTTACGCAAGTGCGGCTCTTGAAAAAGGTTGTTTTGGTTATAGTGCGGTACCGCTTATAGTGCGGATATTCGCGACTTACGTTATAAGCGGTCTATACTGTACAATGTTCTGATGTGTTACATTTCTCTCCTTTGTCTATCTGTCCGAGTGGTTCATTTTTTCAGTGTTACATTGTATCTGCTCTGGAAGATCTAATATCATTAAGGTTGCTGCTAAGTATGGGGCCATTTCTCTTTGAGGTGCATTTTACCGAATGCTAGGGTAATTTACTATGTAACAAATATAAGGTTAGGTTGCACTGCCTCAATTTCGTTCATCAAATGTCTTAGAAAACTTGGTACTCGTAATTTTGCCAGCACATTTTCCGCCGGCAGGGAAAATTGCGAGGTTATAGAGCACCTGTTTTTTTTTTTTTGTTTTTTTTTATTCTGGGGTAGAAATTGAAAGGAGCTTTTTTGCACTAGATGGAACTCATCAAGAGTTGAAAGTTTTTGTTCGAACACATTGTCCTGAGCTTCAAATCCTTGATAGGGACATATCTTTTTTTTTTATCCTTGATTGGGACATATCTTTTTTTTTTACTATAAATTTCCTTTCCGAAAAAGCCACAAGCGTGTCCTCCTTGCCTCATGCTACAACATATAGATGTCAATACTAATAATGAAAAGGGTGCTCATAGTGCATCATTGCGAAAGTGACGTCAACACAGGCACCAACACAGGGACAATATAGGATTCGTACTGATAATCACCATTGTAATAAATCTAAATTTCTTCAAATTTCCCGTTTCCCCAACAACTCGTTCTTTTCATGAACCTTCCTCCAGACACAGTGGTCACAGTTAACATGACCGGGAATATGTACGTGCCACCAACGTATTACCAAGCACTTATCGTATTTACTCGCATAATCCTCGCACTCGCATAATTCTCGCACCCCCCACATCGCAATACAAAAATACGATTTCTTTTTTTCCTCGAGTAATTATCGCACCACCAAAAACTGCCGCAATAATGTCGTCTGCTCGTTCCAGTCACTGATGATAGCTCGCGTCATAGGGCGCCATCTTTTAAGCATCAACCGTACTATTAGTGCATGGAGATTCAATCCAATTCAAGACAGCCAAAGTGGCAAGTGTGCGTTGCGGCGTGTTTTGTATGTTGTGTCGATAATCTTGTCACGTTATGGGGCGATATTGAAGCTACACGGCTTCTTTCAAGTTGAAAGTGATATATCATGCACTAAACAACGCAACAGGGCCACCGGTAGGCCCTTCGGAGTCTACGAGTTTTGTGTTCGCTACTGGTGATGGCAGTTGAAAGCCACCAAGACGCGTTGGTGTGCCTGCCGTGTGCCTAAAACTGGGATTGGTCGTAAACTTTATTTCTTCAGAAGGAAACTGCAGACGATTCTGTTAAACAGCCATCAGCCCAATACTGACATCCTATGCTTACCTTTTGAGGGCTCCTGTTGAGCGACGAACGCTACCACTACGCCCGCAACGCCCACAAGCTCTGTGTATGATATTCTGATTCTCGACTTTTTGTGTCTTAAATAAATCTTGCCTTGTGTTGAATCAGTGCTTTTAATGTCGAGGTAAGTTTTAATTAGTACTTCTCAAAGCTTGCTGTTAGTTGCTGGTGTGAGAATCCCGATTTGCGGCCACTTCGTTTTCTTTTTTGCTCTCTACGTTCTTTTCGAAAGTTTTCCCCTCGTAACTCTCGCACCCCCCAACTTTTCATTGGTTTTCCGCCAAAAAAAGTGCGAGGATTATTCGAGTAAATACGGTATGTACATGTCCGAAGACTGGGTTTTGCAATGGGTACCTTCACAATTACACTACGTGTATGTTATTCTAAGGGCAAAATATGTTCTTCGCAGAATTTCACTCGCCTCAAAAGTGAGAACAAGCCTCCAAATGATGATGCTCATATCTTCGTAAGTCTCAACTGTTCATACCAACTAGATATTACTGTTTGGCCTGATTTACGCATAGCGAAGCTGCTTGGTTTATGAAAAAAAAAATGGTTTGTATTCCACACAAGTCATTTTCTACTTCAAAAGTCTCCTTATTTCTGACTACCCCCTATTTCATGTTACTCCGAGCACATGACCATACAAATTGAAACTCGCACACAACCCTTGGAGTCAGTGAAAAGCATCAACCTCAAACGCACTGTCAAGAACCTTCGGAAATTCTTGAAAAATTATGAAAGACTAGGGAAGTAATACATAGGGAGTGTTATTGACGCATCAAACTTGAAGTCCAATTGAATCATGCCTCAGGTTGACTGAACTTGGGCAGAACAGTACTGAAGTTATTGAGGTCAGAACAAGTAAACCTTGTAACAACCTATCCAGTAGTAGAACTACCATTTGACATTTTTGCAAAGATCTTGGTGACAAGCCCTTTTAGAGCAGTATTGAGCATTACTTTTGCAACTAATCCATAGCAGGACTTGCTTTATGCTGATCAATGCCGCATTCTGCACGAAAATGACCAGGCTATTCTCTTTAATGTTTTGGAGCACAGCTCTTGGGCACTCCTTCCTGTGTAGACCAGTGTCACTACTGGCATAGATTAAACAATAGAGTGAATGGGGATAAAAATGCGGACATGGAGTCGCTCGGTATCGCAAGCCACTGGCCTCCAACCTCGAGTTACAAGCCCTCTGGTTGGAGCTTGTACGCATGCAGAGGGGGCACGTGCGCTGCTGGTTACTTCACTTGCTGTAGAGCGGCTGTCAGCATTTCGCTTGGTTAGCAACGACTGTAATGCACGAAGTTGTGTGCTCAGAGCTCGAGTACTGGCGGTTTCTGAAGCAGCATGGAACAAATGTTTCATTGCTAGACCTGCCAAAAGCCAAAACTTAGAATACAGTTGGTATTGCCTCAACATAAAGCTGCGCTCAGAATTTGTATTACGCACTATCGTTATCGTCGATGAGTCGAACAAAAAGCTCCTTCTCGGTAATGGTTAAACCTGCAACAGCCGATTCCTAGAAGATATGAATATAATGTAAGCAGAATTTTTCGACCCGAGAAGCTATTAAAAGAAGTTACGAGTTCCTGCCCTAGCAATTTTGGTAAGCAAAAGTCAACAGCGCTTCTGGCATGATGCCAACAGCCCTCCGTGCTTTCACAGGAATGAGTGAAACTGCAATTAACCACCTCCATTTTCGACATTTTAAACAGTTTTGTTTGTAAAAAACAGGTAGAGTACGTCTTTAGAAAACTCATTAAGTGAAGTCCCTTTACTGCCTTGCGAGCCAGGAGCTCCTGGTACTTCTCCAGTTTGCTGGTAGGCGCTGCTAGTCCATAAGCTGACAACTCTTACTGTCTGCCAAGTACAAACGAAGCCATTCTAAGTTAGAAAAAAGTGCCAATAAAAAGGGTGTGCTGCATTTTGACCAAATGTGGACTCCATTAACCATGTAAACCAGTGAAAGGTCACAAGCTTGGAACCTATGCACCTTTGCCTTTTTTGCCCTTTGGGGGCAACTACAGTCATTTTTACTGACCTTTGTAAATAAATAAAAATATAAATCAGTGTTTAATGAGAAAAACAGGCTTTGTTTTTGCCAATACAATAAGCGATCTCTCCATTGGTAGGGCTATACAAGTTCATTTTACCAGTACTTCTGTTTCAAACAACGAGAGTCTCAGGGCATGCCATGTGCAAGGCTTTTAAAAAAGCGCAGCGCTTGTATGCTATCAGTGAAATCTTTTTACACAACGCATTAATGATGCTAAGCAATGAAAAACTTTCCCACAGCCGACTATTCAATTCATTTGAGCATACTTAGCATGGCGCTTATCTCCATAATATATGCTGATACCGGGTATAAATACAGATTCAAAGTACACATGACAAAATCTTGCAGAAGCACCAGACAGCGATGAGATCACATGGTGAAAACTTTCTCAAATTTTTTTTTTGAACATCGGTACACCACTATTCAGAATGCATTAAAATAATGGGCACTTTCCAACTAAAAAAGAAAAAGAGTGCCCCTGCTAAACCTAAGTTTTCTTTGAACAAACGAGACCTTTCGAACTACCCACAAATTTCTGCAACAGTCTTCTCACTGTAGTAGGAAGCTGCAACGTGCAATGTAGACTTGTAGGAAGTCGCCAGATGCACTGCTGCGCCATTCAAACTGCTTGTACATGCAAAGCGATAGGGCCATATCTTAAAATATTCCCCAAGTGTGCAAGGCTTTTCTGCATGGCACCTGGCTTGCAAAAGTGCTCCACCGAGATAAACTGCAGCTATGCCAGCTCAGTTTGCCCTGCCAGTTTTACACATCATGCTGCTTGAAGTCTTAGCACACTATACTCACGAGCATACAGACTATAGCATCAAACATGTAAAGCTAACAGGATTAACTAAACACAGTATAGCAAGCATTCACCGACAGGCCGCGAACACCACGAAATGCTGCGGCTTTTGAATACATCTGATATTGACAAACACACTTTCAAAATATGATATGCGCTTGCTTTCCAAACCAGATTTGTAATAGTGATTGCCTTGAACCAGCCCTCATTGTCATAGTGATATGTACTTGCTTCAAAAAAGAGAAAACATGTGTACTTTTGTTTCTTTTTCTAGCAGCAGGAATCTTGTAATGTTATGCTTGCCCCGCTGCGCCATACAAAGATGGCCTCTTAGCTTAGCGAACAGATGCTTTGACATCGCTGAGCTTGAGGTATTGAACAACGGCGCGCCAGCAATCAGGGTTTAATGCATCTAGCTGCATGCTCCCGTCAGTGGTGTCACAAACAACCGATGCCCGCACTACGCCTGCATAGACCATGAAATTATCCTGCAGGTAGCACCTGGCCTTAGTGATGGCTTGCAAGACTTCGTATTCAAGCTTTCCAGACAGCGACACCAGATGCTCCGACAGCGCTGCAGTGTTCCACAGCTCGTCGAAAGCAGCAGCGCAACCACGCTCGTTGGGCAGGGCTCCCGGCCCTCCTGCACTGCCCACGGCCATTACATAGCGTGCTGCCTTGTTGAGGACGCCCACGTTGCGCTCCAAGGCATCGTCCAAGAGTGCATTGGATCGCACCACGTCATCCCAGGCAGTGCATCTGCACAACAGCATGACCGCAATTAATTGAGTACAACTTCACAAGGCTAATGGCATCATTAAAATTGCTGGAGCCCAAATGAGAGTGGGGCTGCAGTGGCATGTTCAATGCAAAGCAACCTGTAGAAAAAAAAAAGCCTTCGTGTCGTCTTTGGTTTTATCAACTGTAGGAAAAGTATTCAACAAGGTTAATCCCTGCAAGCCCTGGGAATCTATGTCAGAAAAAATGGGAATTGCCGCACACCTTCTACACCTCACAATTCTACCTAAAAAACCTGTACTACAAGGAGCAGAAAGCACTTAATACAAATGCCAGGAGTGCAGAGATTGCTACAAAGTTCAGACAGGTGTCAGGCAGGAATGTATTTTACCCACATATTTAATTTCTTATTTGCCTAGAGATGCCCTGCAAGCTCCTAAAGGCCAGTATCTATACAAATATGTATAGTAGTGCAATGAACCCTGATCGGAACCTGGAGGGACTGGAAAACCATGTTTCATTTAACAGGAATAATCTTTACTGAAGGATGAACGACGTTGCAGAATAGAGGTATGAAACCAATCTTATCACAGGAAGTTGTTCCATTTAGACAGCAGTTCCTTTTCACAGATGTTCATCTACTGAGAGCCCACTGTTCTCACAAACTGGTGTGGAAGATTGGAATATCAGCGACAAGATCAAGCTATAGGTGACAAAACTATCATTGTGCTCGTGTGCACAGCCGCTGACCGATTTTACGGACCTAGACCCGTCTGCGAAATAGTAGTCCGAAAAATATAACAGTCTAATAAATGTCGCCAATAAATGAAAATAAAGTTCATTTGGATTAGGACAGCTGAAAAATCCACCAATGATTCGCCTCCATCAAAGTGCTATTGCCACGGTCGCAATTGAACCTGCGTGTTTCCGGACGAGCACCATAACTACCGAGTGCTACTGAGCAACCACGACAGCAGAGAACATGCAATGGCACACTATGGCTCAAAATGTTTAAAAACATTTGACACAACAGGAACAAGACCACATGCAGAATGATAAACTGAGAACCACATTCTTTTCCCTCCTCCATGGGAAAGCAACTATAGAAAAAAACACCAGCCGACGTATTAATGATGACGATAAGGCGGATTGAAAATAAGACGCGTCTCCTAGACAGTTTTGGCAGCTAAGGAAGATCGCACATGGCCTTTGAAACCTGAAGATTGTGTGTGCTTCAAATCTTGGAAGCAACACAACTAGCATCTAGAAACCAAATTTGAACAAGCTAATAGAAAATCCTACGTGGCGGCTTTCAGGATTGAGTGACATGGCTCAAAACGATGATGTTTGATGTTTTGTGGCGCAAGGGCCATTTCACGGCCAAAGAGCACCAGTTCATCTTACTAAAAATATGGACAATGATTGTGATAAGCGGCTGTATAAGGGCCATAAAATTCCTCTCGGTAAGGCGGGTAAGAATATACAAGTTATAAAATCACGATCATGCCGTGAAAGGTGCGTGTGGTGTGAATAGATGACAAAAGTTGGTGATAATAAAAGACGATGGTGGATATGTATGGCATTAGCACAAGTGCCTCACTCGTTCATACCCTTGCGTCCAAGGGCCGTGAGGCAAGTGCTTTCTTGTGTAGCCACCGCAGCAAAAACCTCTCTGGAGAGGTCATGCTACGGAATGCCCGGGTATATAATATGAAAGCTATGAATTTCTTTTAAAAACTCTAACAATGATTTATGACTAAAAAGCGGTTCCCTACCGACGAACATTGCAGGGTGTAAAGGTATATGTTGTCGGTGGGGTAATGGAAAATGTTGTTTTCTTAGAGTTTCTAAGTGTTTGCACTGGATTAGTATGTGAAGGACTGTTAATGCTTCACCACATCTGTCACACAATGGTGGATCGCCACCGGATAAAAGATATGTGTGTGTCGTGTATGTGTGTCCTATCCCGAGTCTCGTTAATATTATATCTGTATGACGCGATTTCGATACGGGCAGCCAATGACCAAGGTGTGGCTTAATAACGTGTAGTTTGTTTTGTGTGTGTGTATCCCACTTGCTCTGCCAGTATACCCTGAGGTTTCGTTTGAGAGACGGCTTCAGATCAAGGGCCGGGATTGATATGGGTGTAGGGGCAGTGCTTTTGTGGACGGATGCAGCGAGCTGATCCGCCATCACGTTGCCTTGAATCTCACGGTGCCCTGGCACCCAGCACACTACAACATGTTGTTTGAGTGTGTAGAGTGTGCACAAAATGGAGTAAAGTGAGACAAGGACTGGGTTTTTGTGTTTTTTAAGAGTGTGCAGAGCCGTTACCACACTGAGGGAGTCCGTATAAATTACTGCTTTTTGTATTTGTAATTGCTTGATGTGTTTAGCCGCCAGAAGTATCGCATAAGCTTCCACTGTGAAGACACTTGTGCCTGGATGTAGAGGGCCAGCATCAGAAAAGGATGGGCCGACAGCGGCGTAGGACAAAGAGGAGTTAGACTTGGAGGCATCTGTAAAGAACTCGGGACGTGTGTATTTGTGTTGAAGTTCCAGGAAGTGTGTTCGGATATGGCCAATAGGCGCATGTTTTGTAACTTCTAGAAAAGACACATCGCAGTGTCTATAGTCTGCCATTGCCACGGTGGCGGGTATGCTACAGGAGCCATTAAACTGTGTTCAAGTGAGACTCCAGTTTCCTCAGCTAGACTCTTCAGGCGAACTGAGAAGGGCTGCCTCATCGAAGGCCCGTTTTGAAACAGAATTGAGCTCGACAAATCATTAATAGTAGAGTATGAGGGGTGCTTCTCGTCTGCTTTTACCTTAAGGAAATGAACAAAGGACATGCAAGTTCTCTGCAGATGAAGCGACCGCTCATTTGACTGAACATCAAGGCTTTTTACAGGGCTGGTGCGAAAAGCACTCGTAGAAAGGCGGATGCCCAAATGGTGCATGGGGTCCAGCATCTTCAAAGCACTTTGAGTTGCAGACTGATAAACAATGGCCCCATAATCTAAGCGGGTGCGAATGAGGCTTCGATACAGATTCACGAGACATTGCCTGTCACTACCCCACATAGTACGTGACAACACTTTTTTAAAACATTCATGGCTTTTAAGCATTTTGTTTTTAAATACTTGATGTGTGGTATGAAGGTCAACTTGTTGTCCAATATTAATCCTAAGAATTTATGCTCCGCATTAACAGACAAACGTTGACCGTTCAGATCAATGTCGGGTTCTAAGTGCATGCCTCTCTTTTGAGAGAACAAGAGACACGTGCTTTTTTGTGGGTTCAGTCGGAATCCGTTTTCCTCTGCCCATTTAGAGACCTTGTTTAAACTTAACTGAACCTGCCGCTCACACATTGCCAGATTGCAAGACCTAAAGCCAAGCTGGACGTCATCGACATATGTAGAATAAAACATATTGCGAGAGATGGTCAAGCGCAAGGAATTCATTTTTATGAGAAAAAGTGTGCAGCTAAGTACACCACCTTGTGGCACGCCTGTTTCCTGGACAAATGTTTGGGAAAGAACCGTGCCCACACGGACACGAAATGTCCGGTTTGACAAGTAACTTTCGATTATGTGAAACATTCTTCCGCACACGCCAAGGTGGGACAGGTCTCTTAGAATTCCGAAACGCCATGTTGTATCATAAGCCTTTTCGATATCGAGGAACACAGAGAGAAAATATTGTTTCTGGACGAAGGAGTCTCTGATCTGTGCCTCGATACGAACAAGGTGGTCTGTGGTGGATCTACTTTCTCGAAACCCGCACTGAAATGGGTCGAGCAAATTATTTGTTTCAAGAAAATGTACAAGTCGGCAGTTTATCATTTTTTCGAAGACTTTGCACAAGCAGCTTATAAGTGCTATAGGCCTATAACTTGAGGGTAAAGAAGGGTCCTTGCCCTCTTTCAAAATGGGAATAACCAGAGAGCATTGTACAAACAAAGTAAGGTTTTCGTGTTTCGATTGGTAGGTTTTTTAACATTTCATACACCACATGGTCAGAACCTGGGGCAGAAGTACTGCAGGAGTTTAGAGACATTCGCAGCTCAGCTAGACTGAAAGCTTGGTTATATGCCTCGGATCTAGTGCATTTGTGTTCGAGTTTCTGCTTTTCTTTTCTTGTTCTGTATTTTTGGAAAGTGTCAGTATAGTGGGATGAGCTGGACAGCTGTTCGAAGTGTGCACCGAGAAAGTTTGCCTGATCTTACAAGGTATCACCCTGAGTGTTTACGAGTGGAAGTGTGTGTACTTGTTTTCCTGCTATCCTACCGACCATGTTCCAGACTTTAGCCTCCTGTGTGTATGAATTGATACCTGACAAAAACTTCTGCCAGCTTTCTCTACTGGCCTGCCGACGCGTTCTCCTGCTTTGAGACTTTATTTTCTTGAAGGTGTCAAGATTTTCGGCTGTCTGCGAGTTCCGAAGCAGCCTCCAAGCTCTGTTTTGCTGTTTGCGCGCGTTTCGGCATTCAGAGTTCCACCATGGCACACGCCATTTTCCAGGGTGTCCATTTGTTTGTGGGATGCATTTTGTTGCAGCATCAATCAAAAACGCTGTAAAGTAGTTGACAGCAACATCAATGTTCAAAGTACATATGCCATTCCAACCTAGATGAGCGATGGTATGAAACTGTTCCCAGTCGGCTCTTTTTATGAGCCACTTGGGAACACGTGGTGGGCACTCAGTTACTGTAGTTGTGCTCAAAACTACGGGGAAGTGGTCACTTCCGTACAGATTACTGACGACTTTCCACTGGAGTAGAGGCACAAGAGATGAAGATACTATGCTTAGTGTCTATGGAGGAGTAGGTGTTATTAGCGAGATTATAATAGGTTGGTTCTTTTCGATTCAGGAGACATGCGCTCGACGAGAGAAGGAACTGTTTGATCATTCGACCTCGCGCGTCATACCGAGAGTCACCCCATAGCCTGCTATGCGCATTAAAGTCTCCAAGGAGAACATAAGGCTCTGGAAGTTCATCAATTAGAGAGTGTAAAT